TTTAATTCGACTTCCTAGATTTATTTTGAGTGTGCGGTTTTTTAACCCATTAAATTTTAATATAACTAAGTTTTTTAAGATTTCTTTGATAAGGTGTTGCTAGTTTTCTCCATATAAAAAAATCGTCGAACACACTTCGTATGGAAGAAAATGGCTGACATCGTCGACAAAAAAAATTGCCAAGTTCAACGGTAAGTCCCAGCTTTTGTAAACTTAAACTTTATTATACTAAAATTGAATGGGCTAAAAAGTAAAGAATATTAAGTAAGCTCGAAATTTTTACGAAAGTATGTTGGTTTTTGGATGTTTCGCAAAGATTTAATCTTGGGTTTATACAGTTTTTCTTAAAGAATACATTATATTTTATAAACAGATAATTAAAATTAAAGAATAATAAAATAAATAGTAAAATCTTGTCAATGTGTGAGTGCCGTAAAGGTATTATATTTAAGAAAATCTCTTCTTATAACTAACAAAGACTTTGTTTCTATATGAAGCTGACTTCGACATTTTGTTTTAATAAAACTTAGTATCGAAAAGTTTCTTTACAAAGGTAAATACGAACAGGCGAACAAAAGAGAATACACAAAATGTCTTGCTGTGAATTTTCAGAGCTATATATTTTTAGTATTCATTACAAAATTGTTCTAAAAAGTACAGCATAGTAAGAAAGTATATTGTAAATGAAATTGTATCAAACAAGTACAATTGTACCAAAAATGCCAACACTGTTCTTTATACACACTTTTTTTTCTTTTTTACTTTTTTACTCTTATTTTATCTTTCAGCTTCGCTAAAAGCACTTCTACCAACGCTTGGCTTACCAAATTTACACCAATTAATAAAATTTTGTGATTTAAATTCATTTTCAATAATGTAAATAACGATTCGTGTTGAATCGAAAATCGCCTCGTCTGAATAGGGATGACAACTTTTTCACTTTCAACTTCTCATTCAACTTCGTATTCAACTTTTGTTGCCTGTAAAATCGCCTCGTGCGAATGCCCTATAATGCAACTTGCCGTAAAAACGTACGACTGTTAGTGTATACATACCGCGTAATTAACGCAACCAATCCACTGTATTTTGATTTTGACGATTTAGCAATTAACGCGAATAAAGCACTTTGAAAAAAGTATTTAGTTCAATGGGAAAAAAACTTAAACAAATGCAAATCTAATAAGAATTTAAGTAATTGGTTTTTAACGCAAGTTTTGAGAAACGAAGTCGATATTAATTATTGCCGAAAACTGTGTTTAGGCACGTAACGCAGTTGGCCGTAAAAAACGTACGCTGCGAGTATATATACCGGGCAATTACTGTATTTTAATTTTTAAGATTTAGCAGTTAACGGGAATGAATCACTTTGCAAAAGCATTTAGATCAATTGAAGAAAACAAATGTAAACAAATGCAAATCGAATAATAATTTAAAATGATGGAGTCCTAACACCGGCGCAACCGGTTCAAATTTGTTATGAATTCTACGTAAACAAAGGGATGTGACCATAGCGCGAATACGCGATAATTAGAGAGAGGAGTTAAACCACTGCTTTGTATACATACTTAATGCATATATATTGAGCATTTAACGCTAGCACAGCACTTGCACAGCAATCTTCAAATTTTCGCAAACCCCAGACAGTTGTGTGTTCGTACATACATATGTTGTGTGGCGAATGTACCCAAAGAGGAAAGATAGCAATAGATGCAAATCTAATCAGAGTTTAAATGATTGAGTCCTAACCCCGCGCAACCGGTATGGTAGTATAAAAGGTAAACACTGAGCAGGGATGTGATCTTAATACAAAAGAAAACAAATGCATACGCGAGAATACTGAATAGTGAAAAACTACTGAACTGGTGTAATAAGCAAAGCACTTTGATGTAATCTTTCAAAGTTTTGTAGGTACATACGTACATACATATATATTTATTAACACAAAAATCCCGAAATACGCGAGAACGATTCGTTTGTGCAAACGAGTATGTATGTCTGTGGTGCGATACACAATAAATTAGTATGTTCCTTTGAACTTCGGACTAAAACCTGTGGAACTGTCAAACTACAATTTTACTCTCTCAAATGAGACTAAAAGGAGAACAGATGCAGAAGTGCATAGGAACGCAAAAAGCACTATTTCCTGTAAAAACGTCAGTCGGTTTGTTTACATGTCATTTGTACAACACTGATTTAGCTGAAATATCACTAAATAATTATTAAAATCTATACATATTCAAACATTTCGTTGTTTACTTCCATTTTTTTACAAATATAAGGTACTTTGCTTTCACCGCTGGTAGTTTTTGCTTGCACATGCAAATCAGCTGATCGTTTGACACTTTTCATGAACTTACAGGAAAAGAAACTCCGGACTAAATCCTGTAACTTCTGACTAGGAACAGTTGCTCAGTTACTCTCTCAAATGTGTTCCCACTTACAGGTTTTATGTCAATAGGAACGACTTCCTGTAAGTTCTGACTAAATCCTGTAAACCGGACTGCTATTGGAACAGACTAAATAATGCGATAAATCCAATCTAATAAGAACGCGAGTGGTTGGGTTTGAACGCCGGCGCAACCGGTTGAAATCTGCAAGTCAGGGATGCTATACTTGCGCGAATGCGAATCGGAGAATAGAAGGGATTTACATACCTACATATGTACCCATGTTTTGCCGTAACGCGAATAAACCACTTTAATGGAAAATGCAATATACCTCAAGCAGATATTGACATACGCAAAATAAGAAACTTGCGAGAATCTTTGTTTTGTCTTCAGCACTGGGTACATACATGTGCATATGTATGTATATATGTATGTATTTCGTGGTACAGAAAGCAAATGTACCAAATAAATACAGCGACATATACGAATCTTATAAGAAAATAGTGGTTAGTTTTCAAAGCCCGCGCGAGTGGTGCAAATTTAATTTTTACTAACGAGTAAAAGAGATTTTATATTTATGGGAATGAGAAAGAAGCAACGAGTAAAAGCAAAAACTCGGCGCTGCAGTTGGCAACAACAAAACAAACCACTCTGATTAGCTATGTACATACATAAAGCAATGTTTTTAGGGCGAGTTAACGAGTACGATCTGCAAATCGTTAAGAAGCGTGT